AGGGGTGCACTGCATGATGGGGGATCCCTGCTCCAAATTTTAATGAACCCATGTCTGCACACATTCAGCTCAGCACTTTTCAGACCAATTCTAGTGATGACTCCTTTATTGGTACCCAAAACACCAAATCTGCCTGTTGCCTTGTGAGCTCTCTCCGAGTAATGCCACCCATAGCCACGGTTGATCAGTTCCTGTTACCCAGCATATGAGCCATCATTAACCCATAAACAAACCTAATGTTCTCCCTTGAGCCATTGTTACCCAAACTCCAGTCTCTGTTTTGGGGCTTGGATCCAAATGCTGCCCCAGCTCCACTGGGACTTCACCTTCTCCTTTCCTGCCTGAATACCTTCACTGATCATGCTGGGGGCTCTGCCTGCCTCAAGCACCTTGCACCCAAAGCTGAACAGCTTGTCTGAAAGCTTCCTGAATACCTGGGAACCTCGGCCGGTTCAAACTTCATGGAGTGGCGAGACCCCAAGTCTCTCTCTCTCTCTCTGTCTCTGAACAAGCCCACTTTCTAAACCTCAGACTTGGCTTAATCCCCCTCGCTCTCCCACTCTCTCTTACTCCAGGCACAGCTTTCTAAACCTGACTTTTGCCAATTGAACTTGAACAAATCCACTTTCTAAACCTCAGATTTGTTTTAATATCTCTTTCTCTCTCTTTTACTCCATGCATAACTTTCTAAACATGACTTTTGCTGATCAAACTTGAACAAGCCTACTTTCTAAAACTGAGATTTGACTCAATCACTCTCTCTCACACACACACTCCAGGCACAGCTTTCCAAATCTGATTTTTGCTGAAGAAACTTTAGCAAGACTTCCCCAAATACCTAATTGAAACTGTGTAATATTTTAACTGTTTTGTTTGTATGGCTGTTACTACTAGTATCATCATCAGTTTCATATACCTGGCAATAAAATAATTTGCATAGTCAAGCTGGTTGCTATACTCTCTCTCTGAATCTCGTTTACTCTTCCTTCTCCTCAACCTCCCCATTTGCTCTGCAGCAATGCTTCTTCTACTACGCCAAAGACCCCTATAAAGCCCAAAGATCCTGTAGGGTCGGCTCATCAAGGGATTTACTACTAGAACACTTATAGCAAGAGATTGGGACGTGCTGAGTTTTGAGGCACATGAGGGTATCAGCTGAAAGTGCTGATCAGACCCAGCCTGCTCAGACGTACCCTGGTAGCATGTGTCTATGTGTGTCTAACTGCATTGATTATCATCC